ATATCTGCACGGGCTGCATTCTTATCTTCTGAATCTGAGATTTTCGGAACAGGAGGAGTTTTTCCCTTGGGTTCCCATGGTTCCCTATGATTACATAAAGCCTCAGCACAAGAGGGACAGCTTGTGTTAGGAAGCCAGCACTGTCACAAATGAACGGTGTTGAAAGGGTGGAAAATGGAAGACAAATTTAAGAGCAAGCACTAGCCATCTTGCAGTGTATGTGATGGATGCATAGTGGAAGGAAGAAGCTGCATGAAATCTCTAGCCTGCTCAGGCTTTGGCACACTCAGTACATGACACACAAGACTTGTGCTGCTGTCTTCTCCCCTCCTACCCATCCAGGAATTGTAGCTGGCAGTGTCTGAAATGTGTCAGACTGTTGGCTGGTGAAGCAGTGGGCTGTGCAGAACAGGCTGCTCCAAGGATGGGCAGGGGTGAGAGATTTGTGAGCATTTGGTGCTTCCTGGCAGGTAATGAGCCACTTCCCCCTTTGGACGCGGTACAAAATGACCCATTGTCTTGATTATTAGGTGGCTAATGGAGCTGTTTCCAGGTGACTCCTCAAAAGGGATTTGGTCTGTAGTTTCCAACTTCTGAGAGCAGTTGGATGGTAAGGAAGGTGTGAGCAATGCAGGGTTTTGTTTTTTAAATAATGAAAGGTACTAAAAAGCAGAAAATCCAAGGTCCTGGGGATATTTAGCCTTCAGGATCCCATTGGATCCCATTGTTTGGGTACTGTTTTCGCTCCATGCAGAGTTCTTGCACTTCACAACTCTGCTTCACAGTTTGAGTCATCCCACCACGGTCCAGATGTGTGCTTTTAAGTACAACTGGCATTGAAGTTACACATACCTAACGAGATTGGTATGTTTGCTCCAGGGACTGTTGCACCTGTGTATGCTGGAAAGAATGTCAGTAAAATACCTGTGCAGAGTCCACGGGCATAGTTTGGGCTGCGTTCATAAACTGCTGTGAAAAAACCAGCTGGTCTGAATGCACAAACATTTTACCTTCCTCTCTGCAAGTATTTAGGTAACATTCTTTATGTGTTACATGGTTGCACCCCTGGGATTGAGAAGGCAGAGGCGAATTCTCGATCGTTTATGTGCAGGCCAGCAGGAGAGGTGTTACTTCTGGTAGCAGGCTGGCCTTTTTTAGAGAATTAGCTTTTGAGCATCATTACTGGAAAGCTGGACACAGGCAGCGAAATTATTTGGTGTCAGCTGCTGTCCTAAAGACTTTTTCCCCCCTGACTTGAGCTACAAGGCTGCATGTGATTGGAACAGCCACCTCAACAATGTTTTGGGTTTGGTAGGGAGTGAACTGCTGGAATTGCCCACTTCCTTCATGTTTCTGTTGCTGTTTGTGTTTGAAACAACAGGGTGCAGGCACAGAGGAAGGACTGGGGGGAAGCTGTACCCAGTCACATGGCACCAATGTCATCTGTTTTAATAGGAGGTGAGGTATCTCCTTCCTCACCTCATCATGTTTTTGGGTTGCTCTGGTTGTGACCCAGTCATTGTCACTGCAGCACAAACATCTGTAGGTGAACCCTCAGTATTTCCCCTTGGGGTAGTTTTTTTTTTTTTTAAGATGGGTTTCTTGGAAGTCTGAATAGAGACATTTCCCTTTCCATGCTGAACTTCTGCAGTTGGAAGAAGTATCCATACAGCCTTGAGAAAACAAAATATTTTACTTCTTTGCAAGAGCCAGCTTGAAGCACTGCGCCTCTTTTGAAGGTTTGCATGGCCCATCTGAGATCCCACTAATGGTACTTTGGCATCAGGGTTTTGTTGCTGCAGGAGTCCTAAGCCAGCTACAAAAACCCACCCACAGCCTTTGGCATTCAGTTCCCTACTGGAAAACTCACAAGAGTTTTTATGGATGAATGATTTGGTTCTAGAGTGTAACTGAGAGTCACGGCTTCTTTTTATTGCCGTGTGGTGGAAACTCATTTTCTCAGCGTACAGCCCAGTATTCATTTGCAAGGCTTCTGGGAAGCAGAATGCTATCAGGAAGGTTATGGTGTCTTTTCTGATGTGTTCCTTAGTGGTAACGTTAAGAACCTGTCCTGTACTGAGGAATCTGTCAGATCCCTCTTGAAGTCACAGCTTTGTTCTGGCCACAGCCTCTGTCTGATGGATGGAGCTCAGGTTCCTTAAATTTCCATCCTGCATCTCCACCCGCTGGAACTTCAGACACTTCATAAAGCTTTGGATCACCCTCAGCTTAAATACTTCCCTTTATTCCTGCGTTCGTAAAGTAGGTCAGTCCTAAGTGTGACTTTTTTTGTATAAAACAGCTTTTTTCCAGGAGCTTTGTGGTTGATGAGTAGTGGGTATGAAACTGAAGTGTTTGATCGTGGCTTTACAGCTAGAATTGATTTTGAGTGAAATGCTACACTGAATTTCACAGAGAAGATAATAGGAGTGGTTATGTTGGGTTTATGGCTCCCAGTCACCTTCTTGGGCAGCCACATAAAAGCTGATTTTACTGGAGATGGAGGAGCACTGGCTGTCCTCAGAGCAGGTGGTGGCATTGGCGTGGTGTTTGGCAATGGGGGGATGTGACTGATAGCTAGAAAACAATGTGTTTTGTTGTTCCCTTCATTTTGCTGTAGGTAAAGGAGGATCTGACCCAGAGAGATGTAGGATTTTAGTAAATAATAATTAGTTTCAATCACCATTAAAGGGGTTTCTTGGAGACAATCCAACCTTCATGCAGCAAATCCAAGTTTATGAATGTAGGTTTAAATTCCTACCAACCTGTCTGTCATCCCATTTTCTATTATGCAGCAGCCAATTAACCTGTATTACTTAATTTTTCTTGAAGAAAACAGCTTTCAAGGAATGTTCCCCCCCCAAACATGACTTCAAATAGTCTTCAGAAGCCTCCCTTCAGTACGTTTACAGCATGAGGAAATGTAGGCTCTACAATGGTCATTTTCTGTAGATTTTCTCCCCACGAAGGAGGAATGAATGGAATGGTTCTGGATTGATGAGACACAGAGAAAGCCTTGGGTCGTTTCCATCGCAGCGTGCCTCGGATTCATGATGGTTCAATCACTGCCATTGTTGCTGGAGCATCCATATACGATGTCAGAGCAACTTCATTGAAGTAGCACATTAGCATTTAAAGCAATATCAATGCTATATTTGATTCATTAAATATACACAGGCAAGTTGAAGCATTTCCATGTGTGTGCTGTTAGTTCTGGCGGGGGGTTCTTCAGATGGTTTTATGTGGTTTCAGACAACATTTTAGCACATTCTTAAAATACCCACAAAAGCCTTTATGTAGAATCTCATAAAGGTGAACCACATAAAATTATTCTTTTTTTCCTGTTTCATGTCATTAGGATCAAAGTACAGTAGGTAAGAATGAATTTCCAAAAGCCTTGTTTTGGTCTCTCTCTTAATTAATGTTTCATGCTTGTAGCAAGCTCATAAAGTGGGTAATAGGGAAACTCTCTGTGTACATGGTAATATTCTCAGAGACTTCCAGTTTATTTTGACTGAATTCACTTATTCTTTATATGAATATTTTAAGCAAACTTGCTGTGGAAGTGGGCAGTGCTTTGGGTTCTGGGGCCTTTGGTTCAAGCCCTTCTGTCAAAGGAAGCATCAGAACTCAACATCAGAATCAGAACGTAGCTTGCTGAAGTCCTGAAACTCCTGTTAACTGCATTAACCAAAATCCATTTGTGAATTCCCCAGGGGACATAAAAAGGGTGTTTGTTGGTTTGTTAGGTTCAAATTGCCTGCTGGAAGCCTGGCTTCAGCACACCTGCAGAGCACAGGGCTTTCCTTTAAAGGCAGCGCCTTAACCAATGTCATAGGATGGTGCTGTGTGTGTTTGTTTCTTCAGTTACACAGTTATGCATGCACACAGTTGTAAAGAATCAGGGCTGTTTTGGTGACTCGGCCTTACAACAGCATGCTAGACTGGCCTGTAAATGCAGATCAAATGTTCAGAGCAGCACAGGTTATTTGCCATGCATTCCTGATGTTTTTTCTCCCAGCTTGTGGAAGGTGGATTGGTGTTCCTGAATCCACAGCGCTTCAAGCTGATATGCCAAGTCCAAAATGCACAGTAAATCACATCTGAAGTGCCATTGACAACTGCCAGGCTCGTGTTTAGAAAGGAGGGGAGCACGAAGGCGGGAGGCTCCAACACGTTTTTCGTGTTGGCGATGAGCGATGTTTCCATTTCTTGCTGGAGAGGAGAAACGTGCAGCCACTTGCAGGTCTTTGTGATCGTCTTGCTTGTGTAGCAAGAAGCAGGAATACAGAGCACCAGTGCTAGAAAGCAGCTGAGTTCTGCAGGTGTCACTGTTTTGTTAGTTCTCTTAGTACGTACCTTGTGCTACCTGAGACGTGAGGTTGAGGTGGTTTAGCTTGTTCTCTGCTGTATCTGAAGCTGGAGTATGATGTGAACCTAAGCAACACCCCTTTGTTCCTACGGACTTTGGTTTTGGTTCAGCTCTGTTTGCAGTCAGTAAGCCAGCCTCACACAGAGTCTTGAGATCCAGCATGAGGCTGCTGACTTGCTCCCTTTTGTCTTAATTAGCAGGCTGCGTTGTAAAGAACTTCCAGACTTGCTCGATAGAGAAAGAAAAGGAGAAAAAAAAAATCAAAAACTGTAAAATAGAGCCTTACTCTCAGCCTGCTTTGTAGCTTGTGCTTTCCCCAGCTGTTATAGTTAATTGGAATCAGAGGGATTGTTTTCCCGAGTACTGTAGAAATGTGCAACTTGCTCTGTTTCTCACCAGGCTTTTATTCTCCTTTAGAGAAATATACAGTCTTGTTGCAGTTAAAATCTGTGTATTATAAAATCATGTCAACTGCTGTGTTTCTAGGTATCTAACCATTGAGACTGGGCCGTCTTACAATCAAAAAGTCTTTGTTAAGATGTAGAGGTTCTGCTTATTTAAGATGATTATCTGACTCCAGCTTGGATCCTGCTTGCTGTTAACATGCCTATTGGATTGCATCCTGCAGGTATTTCGAAGGTGGAGTCTCCTCTGTCTACCTCTGGGATCTGGATCATGGTTTTGCCGGCGTGATCCTCATTAAGAAAGCTGGAGATGGATCAAAGAAGATTAAGGGATGCTGGGATTCCATCCACGTGGTGGAGGTTCAGGTACAGCCTCTGGGGCAGCTGATATTCCTAAGTGAAAACAAAACCCAGTTAATTCCAGACAATTAACGAGCACAGGTGTTCCAGGGAACAATGCAATATTGTGTTTGGGGCTGTAAACTTCTTTCCCCTGTTAATTTTGAAAATTCCCTGAAGCAATTTGGATAGAGATAAGTCAGGGCTGTAATCAAAAGGAATCCCAGAAGAATTGAAGGTATGTTGCTTTCTATACTCGCGATCCTGAGATTTTTTTTTTTTTCTTAAAAAACATAAAGGTTTACAGATAAATATCACTAATTAGGTAATTAAAACGAGGTGACGGGAGGTTAAATTGCTCTAGCAAGATTTGCTTTTGGAGAACTGGGAAAATAGGCACACTTGTGCTTGCTTTTAAGAAACAGGCTGTGCTCTGTAATTGCAGTTACATGCATCTGCCCTTTTACTCATGGAGCTCTATGGCCAGCCACTTTTTAGTTTCTGGAGGGTTTGTCACCTTTTGTGTTTTTCCTTTTTCTTGTCCTCCCTCTTCCAGGAGAAATCCAGCGGTCGTACTGCTCATTACAAGCTGACCTCCACAGTGATGCTGTGGCTGCAGACTAATAAAACTGGTTCTGGTACCATGAACCTTGGCGGGAGCCTCACCAGACAGGTACGTCTGCATACTGCACCAGTGCACACTGCAGACCTGCACGCCTTTCCTGATTTATTTACCCAGTAGCCTCAGTCAGGAACAAAAAGTTCATTTTGTGAGGTGTCGGATCAGTGCTGTTCTCATGCTGCGTGTGCACTCCAGTGAAGAAGTTAAGGCACAAGTGTGTGGTTACCAGGAAGCCCCTTGAATTTGGGTTGATGGCAGTATAGCTTTCAATTAGAAATACAAAACCTTCAGCAGGAGCTTAGATGTTCATTTAAGTCTTAATTTTGTGTTCAGTATTCCTGAACTCTTATACTTCTGCATGCATTGCATGGACAGATGTTTTTAAGTTTGCCCACACTGTTACCAGAAGATTGCAGTAGGATTATAAAAAAATAAGATGACCTTTTTTGTTCCATCTCTTCTTTTTTAAAGCCAGCTAGGCCACTGTGGCCAGCCCTGTATTTTGCTTGGACCATACAATTCTTCTGCTCTTAAAGGCTTTAAGTCTTTTTTAGTATCCTTCAGTGTTTCACTCCTGCAGTACCAGGACAATGACAAAGAATTACATGTCTTCTAAGCATTTGTTTCTTATTCCAGTGCAAATTGCTTTGGCTTCCTGTTGAGAAAGCTGTTTCTCAGACAGAAGGTGCCAGGATGCTGACTGTTAGGCAGCACTGCTGTCAAAGGCTCTGGCACAGCTGAAGGTGCCTCTGCCCCAGCCACCTGCCAGAGGTTGCTGTCTGTGTACTGCATGAATTGGGGTTGTGGGAGTCAGTGACTCGCGAAGAGTAATAAACTCAGGGGGACAGGAGGCATATTGTGTGGTCATGAGTGACTGGAGAGATTGGCAGTTGCTAAAACTCCTTTATGAGACTTCCCAGAGCAGCCTGTTGCTTTCGATACAAAGGACAATGCAGACTCTGTTAAGCAGCCCCTGGTTTTGTGCAGGTTTGAGGCAGGGAAAGGAACAAAGGATCTACGATCACGGAGAGGAACTGAATTGTGTTAGTCTTGCAGACGTGGAAGCTTGCCCTGGATTTTTCTTTCCACCTTGTTGATTTACAGAAGAAGCTGATAGAAAAACAGGAGGGGAAAAAGAGGCATCTGGAGCTGGTTTTTGAGCATTGCGTACTCTTTTAAAGTGTTTGCAGTAATTACACTCGAGTTATGGTGACCCAGACAAATATTTAATCACAGGCCTTCCTAATACTTTAAATCACAGCTGTGAAGTGGACGCCAAGGGCTTGACTCTGGCCATGGCCTTATGGTGTGTGAGAGCTATGCCAAGGGAAACAAGGGTCTGTTGAGAATGGGTGTCCTCAGTACACCTTGGCCTGAACTGCTTGGCCTTGTTTGGTTTGACTTTCACTCTCTCAGCTTTAGTGAGGAGATTCATGCTTCTGTCATCATTTTAACAGCAGATCATTTAATTCATATGCGATGCATTAAAGCAGGGGCCTGCTTCCAATGTAAGTAACCATAAAGGAGCCACTGGGGTAATGATGCACTGCTTCTGCACAAACAATGGAAACTTGCGTTGTAGAATTCAGCTCTGGGCTGCAGAGCTCTGCTTTGCAGATGCCACGACGTGCTTCATGGGACAGCAGTTCCAGTTTTGCTTTTTGGTGGGCTTTTTATACAGTCTGCAGTGAACTCAGACACCAGCAGTAGGCTGTAGTTACCTTGTTATTGACTGTCACAGTTTGACAGTATCAGTGAGCTGCTGTTGTAACCATCATGACAAAACACCTTTCTCTATAGTAGATTGTTCGTGTTTTTGGTCAACATTTAAGCTACTTGACCACCTTTGATCCTAAAATGCAAATAGCAGATGTCCTTGTGTTTCAGTGGAAGCTTTTGAAGTGTTCACAAGTTTTGTAATATCCTGGCTTATATGCTGATGGCAGGGAGAACCTTTCAGTGCTTGGAAAAGGAAGTCTGTTGAGAGCCATTACTTTGAAACCAGTTTCACCTCCTAGCTGCAAATCGGGTATTTTTCGAGTGATGACTGGAATGATTCCCTTGGTGGCCAGAAGCAGGCTCATGTAATGCCTCCTAATTCACCACCTCTGGCAGCTTCGAAGAGCTGGGCACAGCTCACATTGAAATGCTATGGGGAGCATTTTGCAGCTTCATATGGAAACCTTTGCTCAGTAATTCCCCTTGCTGGTGTGTGCAGATGACACTTGGTGCAAGCAGTCAGGCAGTCCTGTTTGTTCTGTGAGTGGACAGCACGGTACTGTGGTGGGGCTGGATCTGGAAGTAAGAGCCTAAAATATTTTCTGCTCTCATTTCCTATTGGTGAAGCATTGTTGCTACGCATCAGACACCAGCGTACTTCTTTTTGGTTTTTCTCTTTGTTGATTTTATTGAGACTGTTTGGAAAAATGTGTCTGTGCGTTTCTAGAATATCCTCAGAGTTGTTCCTGGAATCCTCCTGCTTAGGCTCTTCCTAAGTGTTGCAGAGAATTTTTAAGAGTAAAACCTTTTTTTGCCTCTCTTTCCCAGTTGCTGTGGATCTGAGTATTTTTACAGCTGACTTTGGGCCGTTGAAGTTATGCTCTGGCTAGGCAGAAGTCATTTCCCTGCCCTGTGTCTCCTTTAGTGTTGTCTCTTTGTTTAGAATGGGAAACTGACTCTACAGCATTTTACATTTGTAAGTAGGCAGAATAAGGAAGGAGAGATGTGAGACACTGAGGAGCTGTCCTGTTTTAGGACGTCGAACGTCTTTATGTAGCTTCACTTAGCCTGATGGTTTTCTAAATGAGAACTTCAGGCTTTTGCTTTATCCATTCATTATCCATTGCTACTGTCTTGCCCCAAAAGGCAAGAAGAGTCAGATAGAGACCTGCTCCTGCAGCTAGAGTGCTCCCTATGCAGCTTGTGTACTGGGACGAGCCTGGATGCTGTTCAAGAGAGCATGGAGCTGCTGCACCACAGCCAGGACGGAGGAAGCAGCTCCCAGCTCACATCTGACACTGGCAGACTTCAGTAAATACAGGGAGCGAGGCTGGAATTTGGATAGGAAGGAGAAGTCGGCGTGTTCTGTGCTGTCTGCGTCAGTGAGGGGCCGCAGATTGGAGTGCTGTACATCTGAGAGGACAGGACACGCTGCCTTCAGTTTGCAGCAAGGAGTGGTGCTTACAGGGAAATGAAAAATGCCAGCAGCTTTTCAATTGCCTTGCACACACTCCAAAGGCAGCAGGTAGCTCTCACCCCATCCTGATTGGAGCCAGATGCCTGGCAGATGATTCTCTGTCTGACAGACGTTAGGGTCCCATCCTCTGTGTGTGCTGCAATTACTTGTGCTGTTCACCACAGTGCTGCTTCAACCAAGCTTTGTGCTTGCATCAGGCTGCACTTTTATTTCAGTCAGAGCAATCGTGTGGTCCTGTTTCATTTTATGCGGAGTAGATGGAGCCTTCCAGTGTCTGGCAAACAGTCAGATGTGCACTTTGTTGGACAGCTTTCTGCAGCCCCCTCCTTAAAAGCAAGGCTAACAGGTGCCTTGCTGAGCTCCTGCTGTGCACAAAGAACCCATCTGTGTTTCCTAAGCCAGGGTGAGCATCGTGAGGAAGTGCCAGTTCACTGAGGAAGATGTTGGCTCCAAACCTGGAGTTTATTTACATCTGGAGGTATGGGAAGAGGAGGTTATAAAGTTGTAGAGGAAGTGAAGCCTGGGATTTCAGATTAAAGCAGCGCAGATGTATGTTGATTTTCGTGCTTGAAATACTCTGTAGCAAAGGTGGAACGTTTTGCAGGGCTGGATGAAGGCTGGTCTGCTGCAATATGAGCTTTTCCTGCACACAGGAAGATGTGCTCTGTGATATATTACTGCTCAATAAAGCACCAGCAGAGACATTCTGCCATTTATCATAATAGGTAAATCCTCTGAGGCTAGTGCTCTGCAATTAGGCAAGTCATATATTTTCATCAAGCTGAGCTTTCATGTAAAAGCCTATCCCACTGACTTCCAGATGTTGAGGCAGAACGGGGTGTTCAGGAGTGTATTTCCAATGGAGGAATCTGTGAGTTGTAGCTGTCAGACTCCTTATGCCGTTTTCCCAACTCCTGGAGGCATTTTGGGGTGCAGAGAATAGCAGAGATGTACTGAGCAGTAATTGTACAGGAAAAGGAAGCTTTCTGCTTCACCTGGCACACAGATTTTACTGATTCACAGAATGTCCTGGGTTGGAAGGGACCTCAAGGATCATGAATCTCCAACACCCTGCCACAAGCAGGGCCACCAACCTCCCCATTTGATACCAGCCCAGGGTTTAGGATGAGAGAGAGTAGAAGAGATGAGCAAGTACAGACTGGCATGGAGAGCTGGTGTGATATCACTGGATTTGCTCATGGTTTAGAAGGTGCAGTTTGGGAAGGGGTAGGGGATGTAGTTTGGTTACACTGATGGGAATAAATGTGCTTGAAGGCCATGAAGAGATGAGGTTAGCTCTTGGCTGATTTCTGCAACGCGGTAAGCTGTGTGGAGCTCACAGCCTTCATTTATCTGCTTAGAGTTTGAAATAAGCGTTGGAGAAAAAGGCCAATTTCTGTTTCATTAATATCCAAATAATTCCACATAATTTCCACCTGGAGACTTCACTCTGCCCACTGCCTGTGGTTTGGGAGCCTTTGGCTCACGTTGGTCTGTGTTTCATTAAGGAGATTTTCACGTCGCACCGTGGCCAGAGCAGCTGTGGCTGTTTGTCGTCAGTTCTTCTGTGGATGAGTTTCTCTCTTATCTTTCTAGTATTTTTAGATGCTTTCATGATGAACCAGTGTTTATCCAACTTACGTTTCTCATTCAGTCTTAACTCTTCCTCCAAATAACATTTACAGAAAGCCCAAACAGCTGCTGTGTTCCATGCAGGAAACAACCCAAGTGACCAGCCAGCCATCGAGAGCTTAATATGGCCAGAAGAGTGAGTTTCCTTCTGAGTCAGACCTGCAGCAGATGGCTGGGGAAACGAGGCAAGGAAACGAGGCAGCATCTCCCTCGAATGGGAGAGGAGAGACTGGGCCATGGGGATGGGACTTGGCTCCTTCTGGAGTGTTAGGGTTTTTGGCTGAGCTCAGTGGCAGATGGGCAGGGACAGTGGGAAGATGAGATGCTTGTTAACATCAACATCGAGAATGGAATTTCCCCTCTGTGCAGATTAACCCCTTTATTTAAGTGGCTGTAGGCTTTCTGCCTAGGTCCATGCAGTGACAACCAACGGAAGGAACCTTTAAAAGTCCCAACAACTCTGCTGTTTGTATAACAGGCTGCTTACTGACTCTGAACTCCATTAAAACTGCCTCCCATAACATCTGGGCTTCTATAGCACATAAAAAATGTTTTCCTTCTGGCAGCAGATTTTATGGAGATGTAATAATACGCGTTTTGAAAAAAAAAAAATCTATTTTCAGTTGCTGTTTCTTACCCATGAAGTTGCTGTGTCCAGGAGTGGAGGAGACACGGTGGAGAACTTGTCAAAGTCAGTGACCCACTGCCAACTGCCCCGCAGCCCCAGATCTGATCCATTTGCTGCTGGTTCCCAAACTCACCATAACTTGTATGTGTGTGTGTTTGCATAGTTCGGATTTATTTTCTCCTTCTCCCACAACTGGATCCATTCTTCAGGCAACGTGTCTCCATTACACGTAAACAATCTGACTGTAATCTAAAGGAAGAATTTAAACGTTCTTACTCTTTTTCTGCCCCCCCCCTCCAGGTTATCTTTTTGCCTTCAGGGTTCCAACTAAATTACATGCTTCCCTAAGCCTGTTAGAGACTTGGCTTATTAGAAGAAACCTGTAGCTGGCCCAGATATTTAAACTCTACCCTGAGGGAGGGATATGAACAGATGGATAAGAGAATTCGTGGGATTAGTAAAGCCCTTTGAAGACTGTTCTTCCCACTACATTTTTCTCCCAGTTGTTCTTTTTTTTTTTTCTTCCATGCCATCTCAGCACATCTTGTGTCATCTGAGGTTCCTGGGTCTGATTGCTCAACAGCTTGTCTGCTCTTAGCCAGAATTTTCATCTTGGGAATTGGGAAGATTGTCTTTTCCCCTGGCAACTGAAGCTTACAGATCTTGCACAGCCATCCACAGCCCCTGGGTGAACATTGTATTGGGTAAAGGCAGCTGGAACATAGAAAACAAGGCGTTCTGCAGTGCCAGCTTCTAGTTTTCAGTCTTTGTAATGGAAAATCTCACCTGAATGCTCAAATTTCTCTTTCCATGTAATTGCAGTTTATGCAGTTATCAGTAGTCTCGCAGATAAGTGTGATTTTTACATTTCTCTTTTCCTTCCCTCTCTACTAGAAGGTAAGTAATACCCTAGGCTTCTTTTGCCAGGAAATCCTGAAAATGGAGAATGTGCCCCATGTGTGGTTGGAAAAAGCATTTGAGATGAAGATGAAAAGAAACAGCTGTTTTTGCAGGGATAGTTCACAGCAGTTAAACTGACAGCACCATCCTTGTGTGCATCTCATCAGCCGCCTTGTTTTCACATCCACATGTTGTGCTGCTTGCCCTGCTACACGTGCACCTCCTGCAGCCCCTTGGTAGGTAGGGAATGGCAATTTCATAGTGCCTGTCTACACCAGGAGTCTGCTGCAGGGTTTTGCTTTGATTCATGGCTTTCATTACACCACATTGCTGTTATCAACATGTGAGCCTTTGTCTAGTTCAGGGCATTTCTCAGTGTGTTACTCGTCTGTTTGCACGCTGAAAGAATGGAGTTACTCCAGGATTTTGAGACCTCCTTCTTTCATCCCTTCTCTTGAGGAGTGAAGCTGTATTGCACGTGTCATCAGATTTCCACAGTGCTGATGGATCTGTGTCTTTTCTTAACAGATGGAGAAAGATGAGACTGTGAGCGACTCTTCTCCACACATAGCCAATATTGGACGCTTGGTAGAGGTAAGGCTGTGAAGCCATTGTAGCTTCAGCTTGCTGCAGGTTCTCACCCATAGTGAAGAACTCTGTGTTCTGCTTGCCTTCGGCTTCACAAGCAAGTTAATGGTTTGTACTGTATTGCACCCAGTGGTGGGAATGGTGCTCCAGCAGTCTGTAGATGCAGAAGGGCCATCTGCACCTGGTCTGCTCAGCAGAGCAGCAATCTTCCTGTGAAATAAGTTGAGAACTAGCAGACAACAGCCTGCCCCCTTCATTGTTTCTACAGTCATTTTTAAGGCAGAGTTATTTAAAGTCAGGATATGTTATTCAGAGCTCAAAAATTCAGTGTTTCAAGTGCTTACGAAGTCAACTGGAATTGTTGCTACTTTTCATGGTTTTGTGGCACCTGTTGGTCCCATGTGCTCAGCACAACGAGACTGAAGGCTTGAGGCTGGGTGCCAGGAAATTGCCATGTAAAATTGAGGTGAAATGTACTTTTTTTTTTGCTGATATATGCAGAAAAAAAAAGAAAAAAGATAGGTGGACAGAAACTGCCCTCTTGTGGCCGAGAACAGCCATCTGTCTCCTGGAGTAACATTCAGGAGTGGGCAGGGACAGAGCTGAATCTTTTAAGCTTAGGTAAGACCAGAGGGATGGGGCCACGCTGTTGAACGTTGAGGTGAATGTTGTAAGTTGCACAAAGGAGTGTGAGTGCCACTGTCCTGGAAGCAGCTGAACAGCCTAAAGACTGGTTTCATACTTTTCTTTTCCAGGACATGGAAAACAAAATCAGAAGTACACTGAATGAGATTTATTTTGGTAAAACAAAGGACATCGTGAATGGGCTGAGGTAAGGAGCCCTCCAGCTGACTGTTTGCTTCCTTGCCATTCCCCATCGTGCCTGGGGCTCTGTTTCCCCAGCAGTCACCTGCTTTCTTTTGCTGGCACTGCCCTTTCCTACACAAAGCCTTTCCACGTTTAATTACTCACCTCACTGTGCTTTGGAACAATTATTATGTGTGGAGTTTGGGGAATGTTTCTATTTTGTAACTGCAGCGATGTGAAGCAAGGTTTAAATCCTTTATTCCCTCACCAGGAAGAAAATTGCTCAATTAGCAGTGCTTGTACTTCAGGATGATTGTTAATTGGGAGCCTTATTCTGCATAGTTCTGAAAATAGTACTTAAATTCTGACTTTTCTTTTCAGCTTTCTTAAAAACAGTCGGTCCCAAGATTAAGTAATGACTTGTGATATTTAGGCTTTGTTTTAAATTCTGTCTTTCTCTCAACACCTCTGGTCAAAATATAACATACTAGAACAGATGAAGTGAATGAACCCTCTGTGCCTTTCTGCAGGGGAAGCTACTCTGCTTTTCAGCCCCTTCTCCTGTCTGGTGAGGCGTTGTGTATAGAAATCCCAAGCTGGTGGTTCTCATGCTTGTAGAGACAAGTGTAGAAATGTGATGGCAAATCATTTTTATTTTAAACTGCACGTAGAGCTCTGCTGCACGGTGGGGAATGCAGAAGATCCAAGTGGTGCACAGATGTCTGCTGCTCTTCTCTCCTGTGCTGAAATAAGGAAACAAATCAGTAACCTCTTCTTCAGATGATAGAATAACAGAGCTAGCTGAATATTTATGCTGCTTTCTTCACAGCATGGCCAGAGGGAGTCGACAGCATCATGACCAAGCAGCTTTTCTGTTTTTATTTCCATTTGCAGCGTGCAGGGCTTTAGCCAGGAAGCATGTCTGAGCCTTGAAAGGAAACATAGGCTTTTTTTCCTCGTGAACGTGGCCTTCACATTTTGTAACTGAACGTTTCCTGTGTCTCCCCATTGTGTCACGTTCCTTTGTGCAGCAGTGAGATGACCTGCTCACAGCTGGTACCACGCAGAGCATCCGGCTGTGCCTTTTCCTTTTGCCTTTTTCCTGTTTCTTCCAACTTGTGATTTTACATTTTTTTTCCCCCTACGTGCGTTTCCAGTGGGTTCCAGAATACCAGCTGTGTTACCTGATTTCTTCTGACTGTTCTTTTCCCTGTTTACTTCCCTCGTTTCTAAACTGCTCTCTGTAGATCTATTGATGCAATCCCCGACAACCAAAAGTATAAGCAGTTGCAGAGAGAACTTTCTCAAGTGTTGACCCAGCGCCAGATCTACATCCAGCCTGATAACTAAACCAATCCAGGTACCCTGCCAGGTGTGACAACCAGCACTAAACCAGGACTCACCCAGCCGAGACCTCTGCATGATAACTGAGGGCAGAACTAACCCCTAACTGCTGCAGACTGACCAACGACATCCGACCCATCCTTCACCCAAGGGTTATTCTTAACACAGCCAATTAAACAGTGTGGTTTTACTCGAGGTGTTGCTCTGCTCCATTTGAAATGTCACGCTCTGAAATGGGGCAGGCCTTACCACTTTGCACTGTAGCTTGGGAGCAAGAAAGGAGCACATGGTCATTTACCCAGAGTGCTGTTAGCTTGGGCTCACTGCCTCCACAAGCCCTGGGACTCTGTCCCTTGAGCACCATTAGTTTGTACAGCTGTGGCACACCGCTCCAGTGAAGAGATTCCTTGTAATCTTCAAGTCCTCCTTGCAGAAAGGAATAACATTTTGAAAGTCTGGGCAAGAAAACACCTCTGCCTGTGGTGCTTCTGAGTCAGTTTCCCCTCCATGCACATCCCGTAGTGCTTGGTGTATCTTCAATTGGAGCTTGAAAATCCAGTCCTGCTCGAGCTCTGCTGAGTGCTGCGCAGCCTCCAATGGGATTTGTTCATATGCTCTCATTTGCTCTGGAGCTCTGAATGTCCAGGACACACGGCAGTGACTAACCCTGAGCCAGTTTAACCTTCCACTGCAACTGGTAATGAATTACAGATGTTGTCTTAAACACGTTCAGCTGACGAAGGGGAAAATGCACTGTTTGTTGATAATGGCTGAGAACCACTTCTTTAGCCTGGGACAAATGCAAATATAAAATGTATATATTTTTATGAAGGCAGTGGAAGTCTCCAGAGACAAGAGAATGGAAATAACTGTAAGAAAAATGTTAGGAAAATAAGTGAGGCACAGAGCAGCCTTGTTTACAGGAGGTGGCATCCAGGCAAAATGAGGTAGCTTGGAGCACAGAGGAGGGTGTGAAATATGGCTTATGTGGGTATAAATCCTCCCAAACTGCATCCTCACTGCTTCTGTGCTAGCAGAAAGGCCTGGTAGTGTCATTCTGTGGATGATTATGTTGAAAAGTTTGTTCTCTTGAAATTGGAAGTTGTAGCATCAGAAAGCAAGGTTCCTCTGCAGTTCTCTTGAAGAGCAGTGAGCCCAGATGGCTGGAAGGTGCAGCTCTTTGTAACCAAACTGGTAGCAAAAAGGAGCCCCTGCAGTAATCTTGCCAACTTGACTCACTGATTACTGTAGGCAAGGTATAAGCTGGAAAAGCAAATTCAAGAACAAACCCCGAGTGCTTTTCCCATTGGTGAATTTGCTGGAAGAGGTTTTGACGTGGCTGCTGTATCCTGGGTGAACAGTCTGCAGAAAGGAGCTCCCAGAGCTGGGATTTCACTTCTGTTGGCAGAGGCTGGACTTCTCCACTTTCCTGTTGTGGTCCTTTTGAGAGTGAGAGCACTAACACCTTCTGCTGGTGGTGTCCTGGGGTTTTCCAACCTGTAACATCCAACGGTGGGACTCTCCCTCCAGCAGCTGGAGGTGGGGTGCAACTGCTGGAAGCATCTCTTGGTGCAGCCCTTGCTACAGGCTTAACTTCTCTCTGACATAAGCACTGAAGTGTTCACTTTGCCTTCTGTTTTCTGTATTAAAACAGGCAAGCTGAGTTTTGTTTTCTCTAAGCCTGGGTTGAGGTGCTTCTGCTATTGCTCCCATGCCAGAAGAGCTGGTGGAAACCCTCGTTCAAGAGCGTCGCCTCTGACTTGTGTCTCCTTCTTCCCCGCAGGTCTGTGCAGACTTTTGCAGACAAATCAAAACAAGAAGCTCTTAAAAATGACCTGGTGGAGGCTTTGAAGAGAAAGCAGCAAAGTTAAAGTACTCTCCGTGCTAACAAGACATGCCATGCACTCGTTAGATTCCTTTCTTAGAAAACTCATCCCCTGACCTTTTCTGTTACGTCACGTCACGATTTGCATTCAATACTATTCATGCAACGCCATCTTCTCCCCATGAATAAAGCTGTACAAACTTTTTCAGTCTCTGAGGCCTACTTTGCACCACATTTTGCTATTGAGACCTTAGGCTATGTTTCTGTAGAAGTCCATGTATTTTTTTTCCTCCTCCACCCTCCCCCATTGATACGCATACACACGGATCATTGTTTGTCTTTTCCTCCCCATCCCCCTCCTGCCTTTTGTTACATTGGTGTAAAAAATGTAAAACAAACAAAAAAAAAAATTTATTAAATACTGTGGTGTGTGAAAGAGGAAGAACTGGAAACAAAAAGGAAAACAAATCTATTCCACGTGTGTTTGGTGGGGGTTGGGCACAGGGGATGGCTGCTGGGAGGGAGGGAAGAGAGGTTGTTCCTTGGTGTTGTACTATACTGACTAAACCAGATTTGCAAGGAGACATTGATTAGGAGACCTGCTGAACGTTCTGCTCTTCTATAGCCTGGTTCCAAGGCGCTTTTCTGTCAATTTTTATGGAATGCAAAAGGGTTGTTTTGTTTTGTTTTAATTTTTCTTTTTTTTTTTTTTTTTGTAAAGCTTAAATTGAATCTACATCTGATACTTGAGCCTCCATACTAAAAAAAAAAAAAAGAAAAAAAAAAGACTAAAAAAATGAAAATAAAAACAAATCCCAGGAAGCAGTGTGTGCAGTCGGTGTCGTCCTTCTTTCCTTCCTGCTGCGGTGCTCAGGGTTGGTTCTGTGAATGCTTCTGGATGGTAGATGTGTGCTTGGGAGCACCAAACCCAGCTGTAACGCAAACAGCTGCTGTGTTATGTGGCTTTAAGAGGTTAAAAAGCTGAAATGTGTTTGTTCTGAGCAGGATTGCTGTAGGCTGGGTCGCCCTGCTGCGTTAGCATCCAGCTGATGCACTGAGAGCAGGATGAGGGCGCCTTGCTGGGGGGACTGGTTTGTTGCAGGCGGAGGAGGAAGGGGTGTTTGGGGCCAGGGCTGCTCGCTGGGTTCAGGTGAGGCGGTTCTGATGATGATGCTCTTTAAGAGCTGCTCCTCTGCTTTGTGTGTGGTTTGTGAGCGTTGTTCCCTGTTTTGTGAAGTTGGAGATAAGCTCATGGGAACTCCTGAAGCTTAACAGCAGCGTGTGAGCCGGGTGGGGGAGAGGCAGCGTTCTGCTCCTGAGACCCAATTGCAGCTCACATCTGTGCATGCTTGTTTTTGGGACTTCTTCACCTCCTCCAAAGCCACCTGCCTGCACTCGAGCCACAAATGAAACTGAGCCCCCGTGGGCTTAACATACTTGTGGCATCCAGGCTCCCTGTGGCCCTTGTGCAGGGATGTGTCCCTTCCATTGAGCAGTTTGAGAGGGCTGAGCTGCAGCCATTCATTCCTTTCTAGGCTCACAGCAGCATCACCTACCAGCATGGGTAGCTGCAGCTTCTGCTGGCCTAAGCCTGCTGCTGAGTTTTGTTTGGATTTTGGGACAAGTTGGTTTATAGCTGTGCCTTTGCCATTTCAACGTGACACCCAAACTCTTCCCAAAATGGGAAACAGCACATTCGTTTGGGAACAGGGCTGCATCACAGCCTCAGAGGGACCAGAACCTCAGCAGGACCCTCATTGGGCTGCTCTGCACTGTGTGCTTCCACCCGCTGCCAGATGCAGAGAGCTGGGTGCCCCACGACTTGTGCTTTGCTTACACTGGGTGAATGACTTTTGTTTTTATATCTCCTTAGGTCGAGGTTCTTCCAGCTTTAAGAAAGCCTTTGCTAACCCGTGCTTGGCCAGGAGAGCAGCTGGAGGGAGGCAAAAGGAAAGCGAGCCCTGCTGGGGAAACTGCCATGGAACAGAGGAGAAAAACTCACCACTCTGTTTCAGGAAGGTCGAGGAGTCTGGAAACAAAGGGGTGAGCTCCAACCACGGGCTACTGTGGTTTTAATTAACTGCTGTTGCAGTGGTGTCAAGCAGTCCCACGTAGCATCCAGGCTCTGTGCCTTCCTTGAGAGGGCAGGGCAGGGCGAGCGGCGTGGTGGTAGGAAAGCTGGAGAGTGAAAAAAGGGGAAGAAAAAGACGAGCGAATGGAAAGTGTAGGAAAGTTCCCATGTGTGGGACAAGCTGTGCTGGTTTCCTTTCAGCCCTGCTGTAACAGGGCTGTGTTGGCAATGCCAAGAGGGCTGCATTCAGTGCTTGTTGCTTCCCAGCACTTGACCTCCTTGCTCCTGGAGTTTGAGAGTGCTGAACCTCCTCCCTGCACGCTCCTGTCTCGCACCAGGACAACAGACCAGCTTCTCCCAAATCCCATATGAACAAAACAGGGGTGAGACAAGATGAAGAGTCCAAGCGTTTCATGGAAATGGGGACTAATGAGAACAATTAAGAGGCAAGGAACTGACACATGAACCAACAGAACACAAAGGCACGTGGGGCTATGTTTTATGGAAGTCTGAGCCATACCAGTAACGTGAAACGCTTTGGCTGCCCTGCACCTTCCTTTCCTTGTTCCAAGGGGCTCCAGTCGCTGCCCCGTCTTCCAAAAGTCCAAAGGCAGCAACACAAGAACCACACAGTGATGGTTGGCCACCCCACGCCCTCTGCAGGGCTCAGCACAGGGAAAGGCGACCTCCTGAGGTATCTGATTGCTTTCTCGTTGATCCACCGCTGGTATCAGAGGGGCTCGAGGTCTCACAGCAGCAGTGCGTGCCACCAGGCCAGGCAGAACGTCTCAGCAGCACCAGTCCATCTCTGCCCTGCATCCCCCTCTCCCCAGCACCATGCAGAGAAGAGGACAGGACCAGGAGCGCTGCGGTCACCCTGTCAGCTGTCACCGTGCTCAGCAAGCAGTGCCTCGCGCTCCTCACCAGCGCTGGGCCGTCCTGTGCGATAGGCGAGGAACTGGAATGAGATCTGAGGAGGCCTTAAGGATCTTTGCAAGGTGAGGATCGGCACAACAAGCCTGCAGAGGCCGTCTGCACCATGAGAACAATGAGCTGAATGCAGCTATAAGCAAAGCATTCAGCTCTTGCATCACTGCATTAGTTACAAGCGTGGGATGCAGGAAGTCACAGCCCCAAAAACCATCCCCACCCTGAAGGAAAACATGGAGGAGGAAAGGATACGATGACATCCAGGGAGAGGACACCCAGGCTGCCGATGAGCCAGGGCAGGTGATGCAGGATGTAGTCACCTTCGCTCTGCCCTGGCTCCGGGTTCTTCAGCAGCACACTGGTGCCGTACAGCAAGTTCCCCAGCATCACCAGGGCAAAGAGCAGGAAGGAGACACCGGCCGTGGATTTCCTCTGGTACTGGAAGGAGAGGCTGTGTTACATGGAAATAAGCTCTGAAATGTACTTATCCATTTGGTGTTAATCATCCCGCCACGGGAAAAGAGAAAATGGGAACTGACGCAGTGCTGAGTGCCTTTTGGTTCCCTTTTTGCTGGCAGATGTGGAAAAAAACAAAAGCTCCACGCTGACAATATTGTTAAGTCAGAGGGGAATGAAAATGAATTGGGCTTCAGAGCATGCTGTGACACAGTGAGAAATAAGGGAGCTGCAGCCAGCAAGCAAAGAGGAAGGAAAAAACTCACTGTCCTGTTCAGACCAAGACTTTGTGCGTCTCCTGCCCTCACTTACGTTGGTGTAGATCTGGGGGAGCCGGGAGCAGAGGTACAGCACGGAGGAGACGGAGCCGATGGTGAAGCCAATGATCTCAGTCTTGCTGATGGGCTGTGGACAAGGTCAGCCCTGAGCAAGGCCTCACGGCCACCCACACTGCGACTCCCCCAGCCACCCCCATGTCCCACCTCAGGGCCAGGCCCCTCCGGGCCCAAGGAGAGCAGAGATCTCCCTCTGAAGGCCGCAGGATTGAGGGCTGGGCCTGCGTCGCGGCTCAGCACCGTGAGGGTCGTGGCTGTTCCCAGCAGGGAGAAGACGCAGGCGGCGTTGATGGAAGCTGTGGCTGTGGGGAGACAAGTGGGGGATGCTTGAGGTGGGCTGTTCCTTCTGCAGGGCTGGGTCTGGTGCTGGGAGCGAGTCTGAGCCCGCTTATCTCCATCTGCGGCGTTGGGATTCAGCAGTGGGGCATGTGGGTTTTTATCTCAGTGATAAGAGCCATTTGTAACTTAGCGGGGAGGAAACCACTCCTATCTCAGCAGTTTCTGTGGTTTAGGGTTAAAATCACTCCAAGCTTTTTGCTAACTGTTCTGCCACGCTGCCCCAACCCTGCAGCCCACCCAGCTAAGGGACAGGGGTAAGAGGGGCTCTGTTTTTGTCACAGAATGGCTTAGGTTGGAGGGGATCTCAAATATCACCCAGTTCCAACCCCCAACCTGGCCTTGAACACCACAAGGAATGGGGCACCCCACATCTTGGGGGCGTCCCCAAGGTCCCCTTGCCCCACTTATGTCCCCACAGATGGGCATTAGCCCACAGCTCACCTCCTGCACCCCAGTTCTTGGCTTTATAGTAACCGTACAGGGAAAGCATCACCAGGTCTGCCAGCACGTAGTACACAGCAGTGTACACCTGCAGAACAAGGATGGGAGCTCTGAGCACATCCAGACCCCAGCCTTGGGGACAGGGGAGCGATGCAGGGCAGAGCTGAGGGCACCTGCAGGGGCAGCTGGTTTGCCAGGAAGGAGCCGATGAGGTTCAGGAGGTCTCCACCGAGCCAGCCCAGCAGGAAGTAGATGGAGAGCGCCTGGTCCATGATGCCTGTCTTGCAGGCTTGGTAGAACTGCCTGCAGGAAGGACACAAAGCATCAGCTCCAACCTGTTCCATACCCCTTGAGGACCTCGTGGGGTTTTTCTCTTGCTCCCAGCACTCAAACGTGAGGCCTGACTGAGAGTGGGGGCAAAAAGCTGGAGCACAGATTGTAACGAGAGCTCTAGAACGGCTTGGGTTGGAAGGGTTAGGTTAGAAGGGACCTTAGGGACCATAGAACCACAGGATGGTTGGGTTGGGAGGGTCCTTCAAGATGATATAGAAGCATGGGATGGTTGGGTTGGGAGGGTCCTTAAAGATTACAGAACCATAGGACGGTTGGGTTGGAAAGGTCCTTAAAGATCACACACCCACAGGTTGGCTTTGGCTGGAAGCCACCTCCATTTCCTCCACACTCAGCACACCCAGACCACCAGAACTCTCTCCCACGACCCCTTCCTCGTCCCCCACGTCCCTCCAACCCAACCCCAAAGCTGGGCACTCACGGCAGCGCGGCAGCAGCGAAGCAGCCGATGGAGATCAGCCCCAGCAGCGCGCTGCCCACATCGCGCCCGTCCCGTGCGCACTCGCCCAGCAGCCGCAGCACCCAGCGGGCGCCGTCGGGGCAGTCGGAGCCATTGCCGGGTGGAGGCGATGCCCAGAGCCCCTCCGCCATGGGGAAACGGAAAATACGGGCAGAAAAGGAGGTAACGCCTGGAAGAACATTTATGCGTGACGGTCACGGAGCGACCCGACCGAGCCGAGGTTGGTTGTAACGAAGCCCGAACCGCACCATCACCCCCTTACCTCGCTCGCCGCTTTTGGTTTGTTTTTGTTTGTTTGTTTGTTTTTAAGGGGAAAAAGTTACTTTTTGAGAAATCTGCTGCTTTCCAGAAGTTGGGATGTTGTTGTTTTTTGTTGTTGTCTTTCTTTTTCTTTCTGGAAGTTCCGCTCTCCCCAGAAGCGCGCTGATTCCTTACAGACCGCCGGCTTTCGGGGCCAAACAGCGGCGTTCCGCCAAACTTCGGCTGTTTTTCCCAAATCCGCCCGTTTTCGCAATGAGATCCTAAGACCCGGCGGAGCCGCACTGCGCATGCGCGCTCTCACATAGCCCCTCCCACTCGCGAAGAGGGCGGGGCCTGACCCTCCCCGCGCGCATGCGCAGTGTGGGCACTGTGAGCTCCTCCCTCCCCGCGCATGCGCAGTGCCGGCGGCAAGATGGCGGCGGGCGGAGCGCGGCCGGGAATCGTGCTGGGCGCGATGGAGATGGGGCGGCGCGCGGGCCCTGAGGCGAGCTCCGCCATGTTGCGCGCCTTCCTGCGGCGCGGACACCGCCTGCTCGACACCGCCCATATGTACGCGAGCGGGGAGTCCGAGCGCATCCTTGGCACGCTGCTGGCCGGCGGGGAGCAGTCGGGTACGGGACGGGTTGTGAGGAGAAAAGCGCGGTCTGTGGCGTTATGTGGGGGGAGGTGTCTCCCCCCGGCCCCGAGGAGAAGGGAGTCCCTGATTGCTGAGGTAAAAGGGACTGGTTTTGAACGGTTGATTCCTGATTCCAGAGGAGAAGGGCTTTCTTTGCTGGACTGAGGTGTTTCTGAGGTAAAGAGGCCGTGGTTTGTATGGTTTGTATATCCTGATCCTTGAGGAGAAAGGTCTGTCCCGTGAGGCTGGCATCTTCCTGAGGAGAAGGGCTCCGTTTCCATGGTGGTCCCCATTTCCAGGGCAGTCTTCCTGAGGAATAGGGCCTCTGCTCAGACAGAAACAGACCTTGGTTTGCATTGCAGAACTCCTGGTCTGTGAGGAGAAGGGTTCTCCCATTGTGCTGATGTATTTCTGAGGAAAAGGGGCCTCAGATTTTAGGGCAGATCCCAGGGCCTCAAGGAGAAGGGTCTCCTCTGTTATCCTGATGTATTTCTAAGGAAAAGAGAGCCTGGTTTGTATGCAGACCCCAATCCCTGAGGAGAAGGACCTCCCTCTGCAGGCTGATGTATTTCTGAGGAAAAGGGCCTTTGATTTTGGGACCCTCTTCCTTGGGGTCCCACTGACATTGTGTTTCCAAGAAGAACATGCTTTGAAAGCACCCTGAGCACACTGTACCCTATTCCCATCCGGGTTTGGGAACATCACTGCTCATTCCTCCTTTCCCTTTGCAGTGGAAGTGGCCACCAAGGCCAACCCCTGGGAAGGGAAGACACTGAAGCCAGAGAGTGTGCGGTCACAGCTGAACACATCCCTGGAGAGGCTGCAGAGGACGAGCGTTGAACTCTTCTACCTCCATGCCCCCGACCACGGGACCCCAGTGGAGGAAACACTGCGTGCCTGCAATGAGCTGCACAAGGAGGTAAAGCAGAGCTGGGGCTGCTGCTTGTTTCCTTCCTGACACTTTTTCAGTGCTTGCTGTGCTCCTGTGCAGTGCAAGGTGTGCATGGTGCTCAGGGGAAGGAGGCCAGGTGACGAGGGGAGTGCCAAGAGCTGCAGCACTGCTGCATGTTCACGTGGTGCCCTTTGCTCTCAGGAGCATTGGAAAATGTTGGAACTGATGAACTTTGCTTTCTGCTGTGTTAACTGAGCCAGTTAATGTTATTCTCATAATGGGCAGGGAATAATTCATCAACTCCATTAGTCTGAGAATTGAAACTGGAAGGTGTGAATTCAAAACATGAAATGAGGGTTATGTTTTTGTCAGGTGTTACATTGCAGTGGGACCAACAGAGAGCTCTGGGCTGACTTTCAGTGGTGTCCCCTTCACCATACACATTTTGCATTTCACAGGTTTTCATTTCATAGGTAAACTGTTTTAAAAGCTGGATCTGAATGGTTTTTTGTTCCTCTGCAGGGAAAGTTTAAAGAACTCGGCCTGTCGAACTACGCAGCGTGGGAGGTGGCAGAAATCTGCACCATCTGCAAGTGCAACAACTGGCTGATGCCAACTGTGTACCAGGTGAGGTCTGTGGGAACCCTGTGCTCTGTGTTACAAACACAGGGGAGCTGCTGCAGTTTGCCCAGGGAGTCGTTTTGGGACATGGGTTTAGAGAGCTGGGTGAGATCACTGCCCAGAAAGAGCTGAGTGTGTGCTTCGTGCTTGAGTCAGTGACTCTCGTGATGGGGAACTGAAGTAATTGTTGCATTGTTTGCAGTCCTTTAGAAAGTCTGTTCCTAGGGAATTAATCATGTTGTCTGACCTGAATCCACCCTTCTGGGTGAAAGAACTCAGAGAAGGGTGGGGAAGAAGCTGTCCTGGCTTCTTTAAAGCACCATTGGTCAAACATCCCTCCACTGTTAAAGGGAATCACATTTCTGAGGAGGAATTTTGCTGCTGCAGTTGTTTGTCTTGGTGAAACGCTGAATAATTTTGCCAGGGTGAGCATCTGCTGCAAGGGCAGATCCCAGGATGTTGGGTTTTGTTTGTGAGCAGCCATTAAAATGAGAGGAAAAGCAGGATGAAGCATAGAAATGCATAACTCTACCCGTTAACTGCACTGCTGGCAGGCAGGCTGGGGGTCACTGCTAGATGTCACCCTGGTACCACCTGATAAGCAAATCCAGGTCGTGGTTTAGCAGCCAGGATTTGTGCTGGGAGGTCTGAGGCCACCCCGTGCTCTGTCTTTGTGCAGGGCATGTACAACGCAACCACCCGGCAGGTGGAGCTGGAGCTGTTCCCTTGTCTGAGACACTACGGGCTGCGGTTCTACGCCTACAATCCGTTGGCTGGTAGGGGGAGCTGTGACGGGAGGGATGTGGCTGTGGGTAACCGAAAGTGGCCACGGGGTTTGTTAAGGCGTCACCTGGATTGGAGATGCCTGGCTGGGCGCGGAGGCTCGGAGACGAGGCGGTGCCTCGGAGGGCAGTGTAAGAGCTGGTGCTGAACATGCTGCTGACACTTTGCAGGAGGGCTGCTGACTGGGAAGTACAAGTATGAGGACAAAGACACACGTCAGCCCACTGGAAGATTTTTTGGGAATGACTGGGCTCAAGTCTACAGGGACAGGTGTGTCCTGAGCTGATGAACAGGGAGCTGGGGCTGCATTTAAACAAAACCACCTGAATCCTAACGATCAGCTGGGGGGGAACAGAACGGACTCAAGCTCACCCTGTGATTCTGCAGGCTCGTGTCCTTTCTCAGTGGCTGCAGGGCAGCCTTCGTGCTGCTGCCACCCAGGGTTGGGGACACGGAGCACCTCGCTTCCTCCTTTCAGAGGCGGTTGGGCTGTGCCTCGTGACTGAGCTTTGCAGTGCAGTTTTTAGGGTCAGCTTCTCCCTGCCTGGATTGCAGAAGCCTGGGGGCTACAAACAGCTGTACAAAGCTTTTTCAGAGGCCTTTCACGCTTGCTTGGAATTTATGATTCTCGAGGGCAGTGATGTTGATTTATTTATTTTTTCCTTCTTGCAGGTACTGGAAGAAGCACAACTTTGAAGGAATTGAACTAGTAGAAAAAGCTCTGAAAGATGCCTATGGTTCCAATGCACCAAGCCTGACCTCGGCCGCACTGCGTTGGTTGTACCACCACTCCAAGCTGCAGGTCAGAGTTGAACAGCATTCAGAATTTGGCTGGGGAGGCAAGCTGGGGTTATTTTGGGATGAACAATTCCCCTTCTGGCTTCACAGGGCGCTCTTGGAGACGCGGTGATCATTGGGATGTCCAACATGGAGCAGCTGGAGCAGAATCTGAACTACAGCGAGGAGGGCCCACTGCTGCCACCTGTAGTGGAGGCATTTGACAAAGCCTGGAAGCTGACTGCACACGACTGCCCCAACTACTTCCGCTAGACTGGGGAGGGAAGAGCAGGCAGCTGAGCAGTAGGGAGCATAAATGTGAGGCTCTCATCCACACTGCCCTCGGGGTGGCAGGCTGTGATTTGTCCCGTTAATGGAGCTTTGTAGGACCGGCCGTTCTGTGCCTACGCTGCCCCTGCCAGCACTGCAGGCGTGGGGCCTCATGCTTTCTCCCCTCGGGGACCTTTCCCCAGCACATGCTGTGATTAAAAATGCACTTAATCAAGGGAAGTGGAGCACATAACTGAAGGGTTTAGTTCTGCTTTCAGTTAATAACGAATCTTGAGCGTGGATGAGAATAAACCATTTTTTCTAATGCAGTCATTGTCTCTTAACAGCAGAGCTTTAATCTGTTTTCCAGCTCAGAAATAAACCTGGGCCAAAATGCCTGCAGAGCTAAAACTGACCCTAGTGAAGCAGAACTGTGGCGCAGGGCAGAGCTGGCTCCCCACGAGCTGTGGAGGCCAACTTGGGCCTGCAACGTATCTCCCATTCCTCAGGTCCCACTGTACTCAATAACAGGCAGCACTGGCAATTTCTGAGAGTTTTATATGTGTTTTTATATAAAAGGTAGTTAGATCATCTTTAAGAATGCCGAGTTAATCGCGTGTCCTGCTGCAGACAGGGAAGGAAAACATCCTCATCTTTCAGCTCTAAAATAGAGCTGTCTAGTGTCCGAACACAAGGACTGCTATGAGTCCTCGCTGATGTCAACGTCCTCCTCTTCTTCCTCCTCTTCCTCTTCTTCCTCTTCTTCCTCCTCATCTCCTGCGAGTTTCTGGAAGTCTCCGGTCTCAGAATTCCACAGGAATTTAATGGTCACTTTGAACTCTGCCATCTCGTAGCCGAAGAGTTTCTAGGAAAGGACACAGACTCGTCATCCCACCTCGTCATCCCCGCAGCCAGGCCAATGGTACAGATATTAGGTAAGCTGACAGTGAGAACCACACAGAACAGTGCATTTCCCTTGGGCAGTGACTGTGCCTGCAGGGCTGTGTTGCATTCTCACCAGGACCCGTGCTTGCTCGGGGGTCAGAATGTCCCCTTCTTTGCAGACTTCATAATCTGA